ATATGTATATGTCATATATGTATATGTCTGGTACTTTTTTACACAGGAGAAATGAAAATTAAAATAACAAAACCCAACTTGCAGCAAAGAATACATCAGGTTTAAGCCATTAACACTTGCACACATCCTAAAAAGGGAAACTGGGATTTGCAGTGAATCGATCAGTAAACCAATTAACATTTTTCAAAAGATTACATTGTTTTAAAGCACACTATGACCTCTTCTTGCCTGGTACTTTTTCACACAGGAAAATTTAAAATAACAAAACCCTACTTTGATTACTAGGCCTGTAAATTATTCCTGAACCCTAGCTGTGCGCTATTCATTGTTAGTCACACTTGAGGCCCTTTGTACAAATCAGTGATGTTGACTGAAATTACTGATTAGGATTTGGGTTGCCTTTTTTACTTGAGACTTGACATGGAAAATGACTTGAGTTTGGAAAAATAATTTTCAACTTGAACAATTTAATTTGTCACATGTAAAATATGCATATGCAAACTTCATGCATATGCAAACTCATGCATATGCAAACTTCATGCATATGCAAACTTCATTCTCTTTGAGCAGTATTAAACTTTGTCTGCATCTGTTATCTATGCTTGGTAATCTGGTGACTGCAAATAAGAAGGAAAAAGTGAAGTACACTATTCAAAACTGGTTCGAAAAACATCACAGATATTTTATGAAGGTAACTTGCTAATTATGACTGCGTATAATTAAACACGACTTGGAAGTTGTGACTTAATTGTTGGGAACTCATGTTTCATTTCGGTAGCACTGACCTATGGCTCGACTTTGAAAAAAAACCTTGACAGCAAAAACTGCTTTATATTGATAAGAAAAAAAAGTTAATCCTATATAAAAGACTTTTGGGGTGACCATCTTGGGGAATCTAGTCCCTTTAAATCTTATAATGGCATTTATTATTTATTAAGGCATTTGTTTCACATAAGGACATTTGACAGGTTAGCCATTCCTATTGGTCAAGAGCTGTTGGTTTGTTGCTGATCTTTAACAACTGAAGAGGCTGGCTGGATGGCTGATCTTTCTCTGGTTTAGAGAAATTTAGACTCCTATTAACCACTTCGTGCCGGGGCATTTTTCAACGTTGATGATTCTGGGCCGGCATGACTATCATTTTTTCCGTTTTCAAAATCCTTCAAAAATTCATCATTCCGTTAAACGGTCGTTTATAGCCGCACGAAGTAATCTTTAGGCACTACTCTAAGTTGACAGGTGACCTTCATTGACGCCCGAGTATTTCAGCCAGGCCTGCAGCCTTGTAAACAGAGCCCAGATTGTGCGGTGTTATACAACTGTCTTTTGTTCACAAACCTGGCTCAGTGCACTACTGACCTCTTTTCAATAGGGGCCAGATTAGCATGCAGTGGTGCTGTGTGGCTCATCGCTGTGGTGTTGGAGCACTTTTGTCCCCGGTGGTAATCTGCTTGCTCTCAATGCCCCAAACCCTGGTATACGGTTTCAAAACAACGCTGGATTATCACCACTTTTGAAAGTGAAAAATGTCGGTAATGCCCAGCAGCCTGGTCTTTTGTTCGGAGTACGGTCTTTTGTTACAGGGCCCTGTTTCCTTTGTCCGAGTTCGGAGACCCCAGCCACGCATATAAACCATATGGCTCCGATTTCGGAGTCCCTGGCAGGTAGTGGATAAATCTGGTCCCTTCCTCATTTGTTTGTGCAATACTACTAATGAGTCTCTATTTTTAGACTCCCATATTCATTGGCTCATTACACAGCTAAGAGACTGTTCATGAGAACTTGCAAGATGCACATACTGTAGCATAGCTGAGGGTGTTTAAAAACTGAAGTAAAATTGTTGAACAAATCCATTGGAAATGTATACTTTTTGTGACCTTTCAATTCAATCTGGTGTAATAAAGTTCGGTGTTGCGTGCAGTGTAGTGTTTAATTGGTGGGAAGCTCCATTTCAACTGGAATTTCAGTTTCTGTGCCTTTTTAAGGTCTTTTGTTACTGATGTAACACATGTATGAATGTGACGTCATGCAAGGTTTCTACCTTGTATGACGTCGTGTAAGCAAGTACTCTAAAATTTTCAAGAGTTTTTGATATTTTGATCTTGTAAATTTTGTATACTTTAATGATTCCTTGTTTCAGTCTATGAAAGTTGATCAAGCAGTGAGCAATGTTTACCCGGTACTCTCATATATATATCCAAATGCCATTTGGAGGGAGATTTGATTTAAAAATATTATGTATGATAGTATGTCAGCTAGAGTATTACAAAATATGAGGTCTTCTAATTATTACCAGCAGGAATGGCTTATTGAACAAGAACATCCATGGAAATAACAGGAAAAGTTACAAACAATAAGCAAATGCTAGAAGACCGACTTCAGGGAAATGGAATGTAATTAAATGAAAACAATTGTCAGTATTTCCTCTTGGTATGTCATAGATTTCTCTTAGACATTCTGTGTCTTTGACACTTGGTTGAAAATGCAAATTTCATTTAGTTGACGAACAAATGCCAAACTTTATGTTCACATTTTAAACTATCAAATGACCAGACAAAACCAGTTACAATGAAATTCTGATACAATTCTGATTATTCTTGAATTCAAAGTATACAGATTAATTTTAAAAAGTTAACTTTGCGCACTGAAAGTACATGTATGTAACGACAGAAACTCACTACAAGCACTAATGCACACTCATACCATGGATAAATCACCATCTGATTTCAACACAAAAACCTATTAAGTTCACAAGTCCAGGAGTAAAATGAACCGTGTGAAATGTGTTGTCACAAGTTTGAAGGCAAGATGCCAGACTGGAAGATTTCAGTGCATTCCCATACGTACCATGCTAAACTGTGCAAGAAACATGGTTTATTGTTTAGCCATCTTGTTTGGTGTTATGCCCTACCAATGCATCGGATGCTTCTGGCATGGGATAAATGAAACAAACACACCCACAACCCCAACACACCAACAAATACACAAAAAACTAAAAAGACCAACCCAATTAATGTGCTTGCAAACAAAACAAAGGAACCAAATGACCCAACCAAACCAACCCAACCCAATCAAACTAAAACCAAACCAAGAATGTCTTTAAACACAAGTGCCTCACTAGGCCCATGTTTAAACGCATGACTGTAATTTATGACTCACAAATGCTGTTTCTAAGAGAAAAAACTTAATTATACCCTTCGGCCTATGAGGTCAAAATAAAAGGGCTTCTGGAGGAAACCAAGACCAACCCATATATCAACTTCGAAGTTTTTCTTGAAATATGGTGGAAAACCATTTCTATTTTATTAAGCACCATGGTCTTGACCTTTGGGGCCCAAAATCAATGGGCTTAAATTACACGATACAAAGATCAAGTTTGAAGCATCAAAAGTCACAAGTTTCAAATTGCAGTGAAAAACCAGACGGATGGACAAACATACATGCACTTGCAATGGGTTATAAGGACTACACATGTACACAGATTACCATCTGTGACCATCGTATGGGGACCAAATGCTACGGGGCAAATTTCTGTCCCCACAAGGAGGTTCTGACCTTTTTGAAGGATACTGTCCCTTTTAACACAGGAATGCCTATACTGTACATACCCACACAAGGAAACCACAGTGGTGCATAAAAAAGCATGTTGGGTTTCTGTGGTTGGTTTACTTTCTTGCTCCTGCTAACTTGAGTGCTTATACATGTAACTTATTACATAGCCGTGGTCTACGGAGGGATGACACACAAATCCCATGGAAATGTGTGGTCACACCCACGTCCACAACAGATATTGATAAATCCAAGTATGTATGTATAGGCATTCCTGGGTTAAAAGGATAGAAAGGTCTTGGACAGAAAGCATTTACATGCCTGTGTGCACTATCCATGTGTGTTGCCATCCTAAACATTCATGCGAGTCAATATTATCTACACGTAATAGAAAGCCCTCAAGATGACCACAGCATAATTTCAGTTGAATAGGTGGAAAACCAAGATGGGTCAGCTAAGTAACTTACGTACTGATTTTCTAAAACAGACTTCTCTCACTGCCCACCAGTGGCGCAACTTGGGCTAAATGTGGGAGTGTCACCTTGGGGGTGCACCACAAGAAAATAAGCTGCAGCTGCATGGCTGTATAAACTCAGACTAGTCACAGATTTCAAAGGGGGAGGGGAACACAGGCATCTATGCCACTGTTGCTTACCATTTGCTTGGGTGCACAGAGTTTGCAGAAAGTTCATGACAGAATTTGCCTACTAAGCACATTGTTCAATAAGTGTTGAAAAGGTCATGTAAAAACTACATGAATTGTTAAACTCTTGCATGCCCTTTCTTTAGATAAACAGCAAATATTTCATACCAAATGATGGCACCACCTTGCCTGCATCACTCAGTTATGCCATAATTAGAAAAATATAATAATAAAAACAAAAGATCAAAGCACTTCATCTGCAATAGACATTCATATAAATGCATCTTCATACAAAGACTCAATGCACTTACATGTTTTATAATCTTGGCAACTAAGTTTAGACACCTTATTGGTTATGAATTAATACATAAACTAAAATACATAAACTTCTCGTTATTCTTAGAACTGTTTGCTACCTACCTTTACAAAAAAATCATGTAACACTTAGATCATATACATTATTTAAAAAATTATTGACGGCATTCCCACTATGTCCACAATTTGTGTGGCCAAAACACTGACTAACTACTGGCCACAACGATGGAATGGCAGACATGTACATGCATGTTAAAGAAAGTAACAGCTTCTTTTTAGAGTATTATTACCAAATAAAATTGTGACAGCCACAAAATTTTAAGAGAATTCCTGAAGTTTCTATCTAGAATTAGCAAAAGGAAACTGAGCTCTTTGTTTTGAGGATCTTTGTCATCGTAATGAGAATGGAATATGCACATGCATCATGTCAATACAGGTCACGCAGGATTGTTTGAAGCTGATTAATGCTAATGTAACCCTGGCGACTCATTTTGTGAATTTAGGACATGTGACTGAAATAAGCCCTCGGATTGATGCATCTAAATATCATCACAGGCTTTCCCAAGTTATTTTGAAATCTACATCAAATTCCCTGGTAAAAATATGTTAAATTGTCCCTGAACATTGTCAAAGTTAATGCCTAGTTTTGGTTTCAAAAAGCTGTCTATGGATTTCATTTAAGATGCAGAATTATTCAAATTTGTAGCATTCCAATCTATCTAAATTGGGGTAAATATGTTGCATTATAACTGGTGTTGCAGGTTTTGGTCATTTATTTTTGCACTTTTGACACAAAATTTTGTTTAACCCTTAAAGAGCCGGGGGGGGGGGAGAACATGCCCCCTCAACAGTTTTTCAGACATTGTCGCAATGCATTTTGTTTTCAGGATTGAGCCTCAAGTAACTCTTTGTGGTCATTTTGATACAGATTTAATAAAAATTAAACATACCGTTTCTATGCAGTGCACATTTTGCCAAAACAGCTCAGCCTAAAATGTATACTTTTTACTGTAGTGCTAAATGCACAAGGGCTTGCATGCATGTAGCCCTGAACTTCAAATGACCTTAACGCCAAAACCATATGTCAAACTTGACAATTGCAATGATAAGGAGTGTCTTTATATGCACACCGAATTTTAAAAAGTGAGCAAAGTACAGCCAAGCTCTTGGGGGGTGGACTAAAATAACCAGACTCTTTTAGAGTTAAAGTAAAGTTTGTCCAGTCTTGATGCCTATTTTCCCGTTTTCAAGCAAAGAAACAGTTCATATAATGAGCATTATATGTACATCTGTTACTTGGCTTTTGAATTATACAAATGAAAAGGTTGTATAAACTGTAATCTTAATTCTCTTGTTAATTCCAAACTCATCAAAGAAGATTTGTAACGAACAGATAACAATTTTTTTGGACACTGAAGAAAGAAATTTTAAAACTGTAACTCACAGATATGTTCAGATTGAGTCTAAGTGACTGGACAAGATAATACCAAATGATCCGTTCAATGACAAATTGAACAAGTGAAAAGTTATCGTCATCACTTGATGCCTTTATATACATGTCTTGCATTTATTTGGCTCTATCTTTTTTACATGGAAACCTTGTTACTCAAAAATCAAACTCCTCCCCAACATTCTTGCGGGAGGGTCTGCTAGTGAGTACGTATCCCAAACAGTTGTTATACTGTGTAAATTTGCCGTGCGTCTTATTTTATTTGCTAAAACTTGATCACTGTAGTGCGCCCTCTATTATTAGTGCACTGCAGCACTGCCACCACCATGTTCATACTTTTGATATTGATTACATATTATTTGATATTACTTGATATCATTATCAACAATAACCCTATAAGTGCATGTCCCTGTATTTGGAAATTCTAAGAAGAAAGTACATGCGTATATAAAATTATGTAAAGTGCTTGTAGTATCAGCAAATTTCATTGAAGTCAAACATGTAGGTTTCTTACCAGACTTTTATCATGTGTTTAGTAAGCAGCAGAACCAAGATTATGTTCCTACGGATTGGATTTGTGATCATCAGCATCAGTAGACACAGCAGTAGCACTCTGGCCTTTATATCTAGGACTCTTCTTGAGGAATCCACCATCTATCATGCTGTAAGCCATGTCAACAATGGTTTGCTTCAAAGGATGTGGCTCTATTTTCAAAATATTCTTCATCTAAACACATAAGAAAATTAATTAATGTTACCAATCAAAAATAGAAATGACATCGAAAATATCAGTACTTACAAGCTGAAGGCAGTATGTCGTACAATCATGTACATAACAAGTTACTTAAACAAGCAGTTTGTTGAAAGGTGTTGCTAATTTTAAATTATGGGTTTTGCCCTTACACAATGTATAAATTTATAAACATTGTATGCTCAGTGCTTGTCCGAGGGCAAAACCCATAATTTAAATTAACATCTACCTGACGCAAAATGCATCTTGAAAATAGTTTGCGATTCCCACTGCTACACCTGACTCGGATCGGCCAGCCAACCCCGACAAGCTTGGTGGTCAAGTAGTTAATAAGATGTCTGCACTAATAAGCAGGAAGTCGTGGGTTTGAGTCCCACCCGAGTAAGCTTGTGAAATTTTTTCGCAAGCTCTCGGACAAGCACTGAGTATACAGTGTTTATATATATATATACACATGTTCATCAGGTAAGGGCAAAACCTGTAATTTAAATCAACATCTCCCCAATGCAAAGTACACGTGTACATCTTGAAAATGTAATGTATAATCATACATGTATCTCCTGCATTCTTTATCATGAATACTTGTTATACCTCTGTCCTGAATACTGTATTTTAATTGACCCTGAAAATCAGGTAACTAGGCGATAAAAATGTAGGCCTATGTTACCCTCACAGTATGTTAGCATACTTTGATATCACAGACCAGTCCCCCAGCCTGCAGTCCAAAAAAACCATAATGAAGGGCCTACTTTGGTACAATATACCTCTGCTACCTCTGCTAACCAGAGTATTTCAACCCCAACTACAGTACATATATTTTAACTTTAATAGTAAACTGTACTGGGAGCAGCAAAGTGGCGTATAATGCTATGTCTGCTGCACTTAGAGACGAGTGCAGATTCTCCTCCAAAAATGTTTGTTAGGTAAGATACATTAGACCACACAGTTAATCTGATACAGTGATGTACCAAGTCCATGCATATTTTACAATTTTCGTGAAGCAGCATGGTCCCCTTTCACAGCAAAGCAATTTAACCTAAAATTACCAATTTTATACTATTTCTAGGGTTACTGAAGGTGCTCTGTTTATTTCTGAAACTTTCAACAGGACCAAACGTGCCGTTTTCATAGTAACATCACCCACCAGTATATTAGTCTTACTTTTTTATAATGGTAAAATACCTTGTGTCCATGTTATTAGCTACGAACACTAACAATGCTTTCATGGCAAAACATTGTAACTTATTCTTGCATTGTGTTGTGAGTCTTCAATTGGATTAATAACTTCTTAAAGTCTTCATGGTAAAAGAACTTCACTACATGTAGGTCTTCATTGCAAAACAACTCAAGTATTTGTAATAAAAATGTATCTGAAGATACACTTTTTGGCCATCAATATGATGCATGCATGTATACACAATAAATACAGCAAAAGTAACTCCTTAAAATCATTTATTTGAAACCACCAAGAAATTTGCCTTCAAAATTTGAGAAAAATAAAATAAGGTATCTCCCATGATCACAAATTTGGAGAGTTTAAAATCTAGATGTTTACAAAAATTGCAGCAAACTGAAGTTTAAACTAAATTTTCTTAAAATACCATTTCTTGAGTTAGAGTTTCTTTATGAAACTGTGGAAATTTACCTCATGTGAATATATCATCATGTTATAACCCTTTAAGCTAATGCATGGCCCAAATTGATCATGGTCACTCCTGAGCTCCACAGCGAAGCCTAGTTTTTTTTTTACAAATATCCAATTTTGAGACATTTAGCTTTCTTTATTTTCCAACCACAGTTAACCCTTATGCCCCAAATGCAAGGATAGTTGGCACATTTATTGGTTTTTTAAGTGTTTATAATAATGGGCACTGAAAGTGTGTGGACGATTTTTGACCGACGTAGAAGGCTACGTGTGAAGAATGAATATGGCTGATTGTGTATGGGTATATGTACCACATACTGATGCATGTGCAATGTACGTTTTGGTTGTGCAGTGACTGCAGTTAATTCACTGCACGATGACACAGTGTTTATTCGACAAATTTTCAGCGTTGCACTGGCTGTACAGAGGAAGGCCTGAAGCTGGGAAACAGATTTGCCTGTTGCCTCGACAGCCTTCGCCGAGTTTTATTAACATCAACCACTGTTTTCCACCATTCAAGATGAGTAATTCCCTTTACATGACAAATACTTGACAACATAATCCACCTGGAATTGGAAGGCTAACATTTTGGAAATACATGTATCGTAAGAGACCTTGCCCTTTGCAGCAAAACTGGTCTTACATTGGTTAAATCTAGACTATGAATGCGTTCGCAATATTCCTTGTTACAAAAACCCAGGTGGTGAGTCTATCACATTGAATACGGTGTGTGGCAGGAGTATTAACCAGCTCTACTTTAGCGAAGGTGCTCTGCTTGGTTGCAATAACAACTGGCATTTAATGATGGAAATACAAAAAATAAGTAATCTGGAACTGGTAACTCGAGCTTTACAGCCAATAAAACTACAACGATAAGTACAATAACTACAAGGTACACTGTAACTACATGTACAAGCAAGTTTGACTATCCACTTCAATTCACATTTATTTCCATACTCTTACGGGAGCAAGATAAAGCACAGGAAAGTCATGAAATTCGTAATATCATTGTATAACACTGTACATGATTGATTAATAAAAACATTAGTCACAGAAATCAGAGTAATGAAAAAAAACAACTTACAAAAGAGAAAACAATAGCAGAAGCATCACGGAATTAATGAGTATGGAGGCTGTTAAGGGAAGCCAGGGCTTATGGGGAACAGCCTTTGGACAGACATGACAGACTAAACAAAAACAAGACAGACATGGCAGACAAGACAAAACAAGACAGGCATGGCAGACAGGACAGAAACAAGACAGACATGGCAGACAGGACAGAAACAAGACAGACATGGCAGACAGGACAGAAACAAGACAGATGACGAACAGACAAGACAAAAGACAAGACAAAACAATAATTAATGGACGAAAATCTGATCAGCTAATTTGAAAGCCAAAGAAGGCAATGATAATCCACGAAGTAACATAATAAAATAAATACAAATCAGACAATTAAAGAGCAAGCTGTGCCGTGTAATGGGATAGGAGGGCTCTTTTATACGAAGTTTTGAAACAACCCACAGAAGATTGACCTTTAATTTGATTGTCGATGGTGTTCCAAAGTCGGGCTCCATAAAAGCGAAGTGTGTGCATTGAATAAGAGGTACGAGTGAAAGGAATATAAAGATTACACCGGGATCTAGTAGAATAGCTGTGAACAGTTTCAATAGATCTAAAGTAATAGGCAAAAGTGGAAGGGAGGAGGTTACGATAGAATTTGTACATGAAGATACCAGTTTGAAGTTTATGTATGTCAAAGACAGTAAGGGTGCGAAGTTGTGCAAACAAGGGTGCACTGTGAGCACGAGGGTGTGAGAGAGTGCATATTCTAATGGCATGTTTTTGAGAGGCAAACTACTTGACTACTTGAATTCGCCCAGACGATATTGCAGTAGGAGAGATTCGGAAGAATAAGTGTGTTATGTAATAAGACCAAAGAGAAAGAGTTGTCTTCGCCAATTAATGATTGGTGTGAGAAAAAAATGCCCATTTTGTATCTGTCTAGCATGTTTGGCAGGTAACTTCCCCTTCCTCATCTTTTTGGGGAAATTACACCCTACCCCAACCACTTAGAGGTACAAAGGAGGAAGTCTGGGGGAAGAATTCAACAGGCCCAGGGAGGGGTGAGAAAACAGAAATTTACACCCAAACCCAGTCCCTTTGTATTAATGACTGGATGGTTGGTGAAGTATGTCCTCATGAGCAGTAGTAGCACAAAGTACTAAAAGTGCCCCCTAGACCCGTGCAGTCCGTATGACTCACTCCCCAAGTGAACTATACCGAGTTCACAATCCAGTGCCTGTCTCAGGACACATACACCCCCAAGAACTACATGTACCTTATTCAAATACCCCTAAGGGACCAGCACATGTCCCTACCCCCTGGGCTAGATATTCCACTGCCCCTGTAACTCTCAGACATGCAAATGCATACTGTACATGTATATAAATGGTGAGCTCTACGAGTTCACATGACAAAGTAGGCCAGAACTACAGGCCATACCATCCCCCAAGCACTACTAACATCTGGCCTGGGGGACTATACCGAGTCCCCTCCCCATGGCTAGAGAGCCACGGTCCCTGTAGTGCTCAGATAAAATATAACAGACTGTATCGAGGCCACATAGCCCCCTGGACTGTACCAAGTTCAACTCCGCCAATGATGAACTATATTAAGTCCATATGTTACCCCTGGACTGTACCGAGTCCCAACCCCTCACTGACTCTGCCAAGGGCATTGGCCCGGTTTGGGCAGACAACCATCAATCCCCTCAACCAATCCAACTGCCCCAATACAATCTGCCATGGATCAACTGGCCATTGAGACGACAACAGTTTTTATTCCACTACCGCTAATCCTACGGGATGTATAGTACTATGGGAAGGTGGGTGGGGATTTTTTATACGATTTGCTTGGCGAAGGCGTGGGAAAAATGAGGCCGAAAAAGCCTGAAGTTGCCTTCAGTGCGGAGCAACCTGAACTTTGATTGGTTGTTTGCCTGGCAGCCACAAATGGCTTGCTTCATTACATGCCTTAAGGGCTATTGGAAAATCTGTCCTCCGTACCCCGGCCAAAGGGGTTCTCCAGGGACGAGCCCAGGAAAACTGTATTGTTGAAGAGGAAACGCAAACTTGAAGGTAAATTTGCCAACCACTATTACCGCACAAAGCCATGGAAAAAATGCATATTGGGATGCTGTAATTCATCCAATGGTCTGTCAATCCACCTCATCTGTGCACTGCCCAGGCTCTCAGGAACGTCCTGTAGTCCATGAATTTGTGTGACACAAATAACATGAGCTGGGCTCTGAGTGTTAAACATGAACAGTGTTTTTCTCGATTTCCCTCAAAGCAGTTAACTAAAAGAATAAAAAACAGATCCTTGAAATGGTACACCAAGTAAATCAAAATGTCCAAATTGGCAAATTTTGACATATTGCAGTACATGCACATCCTTTACACTGCCTTTAAAACATATCCCACATCGAAGCAGTCAGTAGTTGATTCATGTATACATGTGGATTTTTCTGCTTAACACTGATACTGTTGTCCCTAAACTAGAGGTGTGTGTTTATGGGTAGTAAAGGGAAGTGGATACCTGATTCCTGAAATGGGTGGGTACCTGTGATTATTAAAATAGTGACAAAAATACAATAGTTGAGTATTTTCCATTGTGGCCCCGCCCACTCTACTGCCAAGCAGCTGACCTAAGCGTCTACAAATGTAAGTGTGAAATAAAAATAAAAAAATCTTGAAAACTCCAACCTCAGGTGAATGGCTATCAACCACTTGCTGCCGGGTGGATTTTTCTTGAGCAAGAGAAGATGCCGGGTCCTTTCCAAGATTTTCATTTCATTACATTTATTATTTTGCAGGTCAATACAATAAAATGACAAAAAAAAAAAAAATTGATTAGACTAAACAGAAAATGGGACACAGATTACAAAAATAGCTATGGAATACAGACAGTATTGATACAAAATACATATAAACATGTATAGAATAAATTTAAAAACATTATTTAAAACCTCAAATAAAAGAATAAAAAATTAAAACACATAGAACCCACTTTTAAAAAAAATTCTTTACATAATGTGCACACCTGGCACAAACCAGAGAGATTTAAGTTTTGAGGTAAACAAGGTGTGACTAAACAAGACACTGTTAGTTCCATCAGAAGGCAAAGTTGCCCACTCATGTGGGAATCTAACAAATAAGGAATGGAACAAAGCATTTGTTCTGGAGTAATGATGAGTGAAAACAACTTGATCCATGTGCCGCTTGTTAACCCAGACAAAATTGTCTATGCTCATATCAAATCTATTATAAAAACATTTAACAAAAATGACGGATAAAAAATGAAATCTATTAATAAGATACGGCAGTCCAAGTCTGGTGCATCGGAGAGAGTACTCAATGTTGACAACATTGGAATTAGTGAAATGTCTCCGGGAGAGGCCCAAACATGATCTAGTAAATCTCCTCTGTAATCCCTCCAACATGGTTTGTTGAGAGAGAGTACTTGGGCACCAGACTGGGACTGCATACTCTAAACAGGACGAACAATGGCACAATACAATTTAACAAGAAGTTGACCATCTTTACAACTTACAAGTCATCTATTGAACCCCCACATTCTGTTAGCTTTAGAAACAACAATGTTTACATGCTTATTCCAAGAAAGATCTCTCGAAAGATAAACGCCTAGATATTTCTAGTGATCGACAATTTCAAGGCTATGAGAACCTATATTGTATGATGGTTCAGGTGGGTTTTTAGAACGTGTAATGGTCATCAATTTGCATTTATCAACATTAAGATGCAGTTTGTTGAGATTGCACCATATGTCAATCTGGCGCAGGTCCGACTGTAAGATACGCTCATCTTCCACACTAGTGATAACTCTATAAATGACAGTGTCATCAGCATATTGTCTAAGACTGGACTTGATACAGAAAGACAGGTCAAAAGCAAAAATATTAATAAGTAATGGCCCCAAAACCGAACCTTGTGGAATGCCAGATGGGACTGAGGCCAAGTTAGAATGTGCCCAACAAAATGGTATACGTTGTTGGCAGCCAGTAAGGTAGGATTCAAACAGTGCAAGGGTGAACCGCAAATGCCATATTTATGTAACTTTTGGTAGGATTCAAACAGTGCAAGGGTGAACCGCAAATGCCATATTTATGTAACTTTTAGTAGGATTCAAACAGTGCAAGGCTGAACCGCAAATGCCATATTTATGTAACTTTTGGAGGAGAACACTATGACTCACCCGATTAAACACTTTTGACCAATCCAAAAAGATGGCGTCAATGCGAGGGGGATTCACAGCGTCCAAAGTAACAGCCCAATGATGATATAAAGTAGTGAGTTGGTTAATGCAAGACCTTTTTGGAAGGAAGCCATGCTGGCAGTCAGAGACTATACCGCTCTTGTACATGTGTTTAACAAGATGGCATTTTCCTGGCATTTACTGACCGTCGAGCAAACTGAAATGGGTCTGTAATTGGCAATGTTATGAGAGTCACCGGATTTATGTATGGGGATGATATTGGCAAATTTCCATTCAGTGAGAATCTTACCAATGTTTAGGGACAAATTAAAAATCAAAGTTAAAGGGTAAGCAAGACTGTTAGCAGCAATTTTGAGTAACATGGGAAAAATATCATCAAGACCTGGTAATCTGTAGGCTTGAAGAGTGTTCAGTAATTTCTTGACCTCAGAATCGTTGGTCTGAATACTGGACAGGCAGAATTTATTACAAGCATGATTACATGTAATACCGCGGGATAGGTCATTATCTTTGGTAAAATTATTTTGGAAATTGGCACTAAATTCATTAGCGATGGCACTAGGATCACTAGTGATGTAATCGCCAATACGGAGGCTAGAACTGGAGGTTTTCTTACGGTTAGAACTAACAAAAGACCAAAATTGCTTAGCAATAGCATTAGCTTCGCAATTTAGAGCTAGGTCCTGAATGTAGTTATTACAGAACTTATTAGTGAGTTGTTTCACTTGGTTACGTAAAGATCTGTATTTGGCCCAAAGATGAAACAATCCCCTTGGCTAGGAAAAAAACATAGGGCCTTTAAAGCTGCTCGCGATGTGGCGGTAATGCCACATCGCGAGCAGCTTTAAAGGCCCTATGTTTACTTCTAGCCAAGGGGATTGTTCCACTAGATATCCAAGGCCATCTTCTGTTCCCTCTTCCTCTAGCTACTGGAACAGTATCTCGAACAGCCGCAAACAAGAGATCCTTGAAATTATCCCGAACTTGATCAATGTCCAGCCCAGGTGACAAGTAAAAGTCCCAATTGATATGAGCGAGGGTGTCCGTTTTCAAAATTCTTCAAAAATTCATCATTTCATTTAATGGCTGTTTAACTTCACTGACTCCTGAATATTTCAGCCAGGCCTCCAGCCTTGGAAAAAGAACCCAGATTGTGCGGAGTTACGTAAGACTCTTTTGTTCCCGAAACCAGCACAGTGCACTGCACACTAAATACCAGCATACTAATCTAACAATGGAAATTTGGCTACAATAGGCCAACAATGCATGTACAGCATGCCTGGCCAGACTGACACACAACTCAGGGGGAGTGACGGATGAGAGGAGCAGACTAAAACCAAAAAAATATAAGAGGGGAAGAGCGAATTACTTAACATAGACTATTTTCATTACAGAATCAAACGGGCGTAAGTACTTGCGCCCGTCATTATGATTTACAGACGCATTTCTGAGACAAACAGGAGCATTTAAGCTACATGTACCTACGCCTGTTAATTTCGAGCCCTTTCATTTCAATTTTGTTTAGTTTGGTGTTGGCTTGAGCCACTTGCGTTTCCATAACCAACTGTCCTTGCAATGTAAAAAATTCAGAGAACAAGTCAAAGTGTTTTTAGAAGTCAAAATTTCACATTAATATGACTGCAACCCTATACACTGTTTTTCATAAACTACTTTACAGTAAATCTCTCTGCTTTAAAACAATTTTCAACTTTTAACTTGTTATATTATGGACACTCAAAAAAAATCATAAATGCTGTAAAATATTTTAACCTGCATCAACATGTACAAGTGTATACATGAAACCATTAAAAATGTCATTACTGGGCAAAAGCTAACTAAAAGAATTTAGTTAAAGATTTAAATTTAAGAAAATCAAAATGCACAGCATATGAAATATGCCGTGCATGTTGATTGTAAACATTGTAAAACATGTAAAAATTGAATACCTTTGAGTTGTCAAACACAGTCTCTTTCCCCCACATTGGTGCAATCCTATTAGCGGTAGAATCAAACTTTGCAAACATTTTGAAGAAAAAATGAGGAACTTTCATCTGTGCTGGGCGATAACCTTAGAAAGGAATGAAAAAGATAGACAGATGTATTAGATGCTGTTTTGGTCCGAGTGCACTCATCAGTCCATAGATTAAGGCTACACAGCCTTTTTTAAGATTCATTTTTGAAAATCACATCACTCAACATTCAGTACTGCTGAAATTTCTCTGAGCTGTTCCATTCATGTTGGCCTCATCCAGCTTTGAGGTCAACTTGTATCTCACACAAATCAACCTTTAGCAACTGAAATCCACGTACATGTATCTGCAAGCAACTGGGATAAGCACAATTTCAAGATGTCCTCAACATTACAGCAGCATCATTACCAGTTCAGTAGTAACTGACGTTTTTCATTTGCAGAAAACATTGATTGAGAAATGTATAAAGTAGACAATTATCGGTAGGAATAAATGTCTGCACTGACTAATTTATAGACCTTAGTCACAGAATAGATATACTTGCATTTTCAGAATGTACAGAATATTCTTTGCACTAGGGTGTGTGAAAAATGCAATTGGAGAATGTGAGACTTTTAGGATAATTAAATGAACAAGATGCAAACATGTGGGTCATATCTTTTAGGATACACCATTGATTTCATACAAAGTCTCCTGATGAAACATGTATAAATTAAGCTTGAAGTCTACATTGTACATTTATTTTATAAGTTTGTAGTTTGAGTTTTAGGCAAAAGGTATTAAATTGGTATGGTAAGTGTACAATTTGGTTTGTCTTCTCGTGAAGCGTGTCCATGTATAGTGTTTGATTCTTTCAGCATCTGAATCTCATTGTACCCGACAATACACAAGTGCAAGGGCATTTTCAAGAGATAACTGGCCATGCATTTGTGGCAGACAGCCTGTAAGTGCTTAATGGTGTTATGCACAGTGGTTCATAGCATGAGGCGACACTGAGAAATACGAAGGATTGGATTACCTTTAGTCTCAAATGCTCTGGCCAAGACGCAATTTTAGTATAGTTTGACTGAGAAGATATGATAATGGGGATATCATAAGATTGCTCACAGTGAGCAGTTATTTGATGACTAAATGAGGTCAGGAAAATCTCAGAAGACAGTAAGCGAGTTCACGTAGTACGACTCGATAGCCAATTGTGGGCAATAAGCCTACATGACCAGACCAGCCCCTCGATATTCAAAGAAGGATGACTCCAGGTAGGATGTGCAATTTGCGGCACGGACCAAATATACAAAGTTTCAGTTTGACCTGGCAGTTATGAGGAACTTTGTCAGCGATGGCCTCAAGAAACCTGTTTTTTTGGCAACATCACAGCTGTAGATACTTTCATACTTGCGATGACAGATCACAAACACATATATTCAGAAATAAAATATGATTATAAAAACAATGGAAAATGTTAAAAATCAGATTAGGAAAGAGGTGGAAGAAGAAGAAAACATTCTCACAATCCTTCTCATTTCAACAATCATTGGAGCAGAAACTTGAAAGGGGGATTGAGGCAACAGAAGTTTTTTACAGCGTGGAAGAACATATTTTTTCTTTTGGCCACCCATAACAAAGTAAGGCTAGGGTTTATAAATAAAGCGAAGGTCTATTTTGGCATACAGAGCACCGAATACACCAGTTGTGATATAAATCAAGATGCCTTTCAACAAGATTCAAGGGATAAGCCCGAAAGGAAGAAGTGAAAGGCAATATTTCTACAAGAAGTGGACTTAACCCCTTCACACTGGGAGACGGCAAGAGCCGCGCCAGGAGAAAAGTCTAATAACTGGGAGACGGCTGTAGCATCATACCAAACTTTATTCAGTGTACATCTGTAATTACTGGGACCAGGGACCTTTGCATTGAATGGAAATCTGGGGCAACCTGGAGAGTTGGTTGATCCCCTGATACTTGGTAAATGGGATTTTTTTCATCAGAACACCCCATTGTCTTTGATTGAATACCCTGGGTAATCTCCATGGAGCAGCGCTCGAGGCTGCGGTCAGGGCTTATGCAATGCATTCTGTGTGGGCTCAAAGCGCAATGAATACAGGCCATTGACAATGTGTGCGCACCATTGTTTACAGCCCTGCTGGACTGGGAACACGTGGGCAGCACCGCAGCACCCCAGCACCACACTCGGGATATACACGGGCCATTCGTTATTTGTTTCGTCGAAAAGCAGCATTTTCTGAAGTGCTGGGTGTACATTTGCTTGGCTGCTTCCTGGCCATTCAGTTGCATTACACAATGTCTTTAAGTGAAGAGAAAACTTTGACAGCAACAGCAACTGACACATCGTTATGAGGAGAACACAAATATGTGATTGTCTCCTCTTGAACAAGCAAAGGATGGCCGGCAGTTGGGCTACTGCAATGCCATCCAGAGCACAGTCAGTCCATGAGAATGGGTCCCTCTGCAAAACATCACTGAGATAACAGGTGTGAATGTGGAATGGGTTTTCCAACCAGCAGCTTTACAAATGTCTATCACAGGAACCCCTTTGAAATGGGCCCATGAGGATGACGTGCCACATCATGGGTAAGAATATGCCTTAGACTTTGGTCATCAGAGTCAGAAGGCCAATCCACGTTACCAAATTACAGCAAAACGACCCACCTAGCAATTGTATCCCTGGAAGCTGGACGATGAGGTTGGGTAGAAGTGATGAATAGATATGTAATTGGCCCCTGAATGTCCTTCGTCCTATCAAGGTACCATTTCAGCATGCGAACAGGACACCAAAGTTTATCCGATGATGATGATGCTAAGGACTGGATTGCTGAGATGAAGATATCCGGGGGATGGAAGGACGGAGTTTGATTCTTAGTAAGGAAGCCTAACTCCGGAACAAGACATACCCCCAAAGGCTTGAATGTGACCCTCGGCTATGGAGAAAGCCTTAATTTTGCAACCCCAACGAGAAGTCACCACAGCCAGTATGAATGCCAGTTGATGCTGAGGTGCAGGAGGGAGGCACGGCCTGCTGGCTCAAAGGGGGGTTGAGACAGAAGTCGGAGGACATAGCCAAGACATCACGCAGGAACAAGATGCTGCAGGGGAGGCCGTTCAATAAATGTTCCACGTAAGAGGTGGTGGATCGCTGTGTTGCTAGATATCGACAAGCCATCAGCGAAGCTGCTGTGCACCGCCGTGATCGCGGAGTGTTAATTTCGAATTGTGGAGACAAGGAGGCCAGAGTGGAAAAGATGAACAAAAAAATCGGTCACGACTCAAAGAGGTGCAACGGTTGGATCCACCATTGCGCCACGAATCAAAATAATGTAACCAGCTGTCATAAATCTTTCTTGTGGACTCTCGTCGACCCTTGGCAGCCAAGGCGGCAGTGTCTTGAGAAAGGCCTCCTGCTCAAAGGATCACTTGACAACACCCAACATGTTAAGTGTAGGTGGAGTGGGGTCTGGATGCAGTAGACGAGACCTGGGTTGAAACAGCAAATCCGGACGTGGAGGCAGTAGAAGGAGAATATCGACCAGAAGCCTGATTTATTATTAAATTTCTAATATTTAAATATTCCGGTAAATTCGGTTGGGTACAGTATTCTTCAAATCATATACTGATGTAGTCATCGTCAACATCGTATTTTGTTGAATACCGATGTATCGCTTTTTTCATAGTGACATCATCAAAATGTCAAATGTTGGCATGGATTTTACTCTTTCGTTGCTTAAAGAAGGCGTGACACCTGATCTACGTGGGGACATATTAAGTCATGAACCCCAAACATGACAGGTGATGAAGTCAATGACAACATCAGACCCTTACAGATCCCACATGGCGTCTGCCGATGAATGCGAGAGTGGTTTGGAGTGTATATCATACAGTACACCATTCTAGTCACAGTTACAAAAAGTGAAATTCAGTTTTTGCGCCAAAATGTCCAGGATAGTGCAACAGATGTCATCAATAGTGGTCCTGCACTGTCTTTCTTAAATTTTGTATACAGAATATCTGATATGTGCAATCAATTATTGTTACATTAGATATTATCAAAGAATTACATTTTTAGAGTGGCAATGCATATTTATGATTATGCAAATAAGGGTGGAGTTTGCAGACCGATGTCTCTTGAGAATACACTCTTTAAGGCCCTTTATCTCCTTAAGTAGATTATCCGATCGGGTTTAAAATCTTGCAGATATATTCAAAAGAGAGGGCTTTCAAGGAATATTGACCGGATGTGATGATGAAGTCATGAGGAGAAAAATCACCTGACGTTAAAGGTGCACTTTCTCTACAAGGAACTTTGGCAATTATTTTCAGTCCGATCAATTTCAAACGTGGTATAGTAATTAAACATCATCAGATGATGAGCCTCGAAACTTTTTGTATTGTGACCTCATCAGGAGTCACGTGACCGCAATTCAAAGTTCATTCTTTAAAGTATAATAACTAGTAAACTATTTGACCAATTTAACTCAAATTTGGTGTGCACATGGTCAGGGACGTGTTGTAGATGAAAATTGATATCTTGACCTCATGTGACCTGTACTTCTGGTTTGACCGGAAGTTGTATTTTAACACACAAATCATCATATCTCATGAACTATACGTTCAATGGCAGTGATAATTTGTTTTACACATGCCACTTTGGCAATTATTTGTAATCCAATTAATTGCGAACTTATGATACTCGTTGACAGTCATCAAAAGACAATTAAAAAACATTTTGGGAACAGCTATGTGTTTGTTCACAAACACCACCTCTAGTTTATTACTGATTTGCTGAAACTGAAAGAAAATTCTGAAAAATAATTTGATAATAGGACTCTTGGGTATAGATGTAATTAACAAAGACGAAAAAAAAGATTTTTTTTTCGTTCTCATAGCGATTCTCAGCCAAAGTTCAGGACTACTCTCATTAACATTGATAATATTGTGTAGCAGAAAAACGTGTACAAAACCTATGGGGAAAACTGCAGCTTTACATCATGTGACCCTGGTGAAGTTATTTTGACGATTCTTTTTTGGAGGAAGCCTTTCTTCATTAGGGAATTCATGAGTACATTGAAGGAAATAATTCAGATTTACCAACGTGCTGAAGATAAGCTCTTGAAATACGTGTACAAAACCCGTGGGGAAAGATTAAATATCCAAAAATCAATTTAAAATTTTGTGATGACATCATCATAACGTCATATAATAAGCATAATTCTTTCATCAGGGTCTTTGTTGTCTGTAACTTTGAAGTTGATCAAACCTTTCAAACTAACCCAAATGCTGACTTGAAAACGTGTACAAAGTCAATGGGCTGAAATAAATATTGAAAATTCAAATCACATGATGACGTCATTTACTTACAATAATTTTTCTTTCAGGGTCTTTATTGGCTGTCAGTTTGATAACGATCAAACATCGCAAAGGTTTCAAAACTGTGCCATGAAAACATGTACAAAGTCAGTGGGCTATAAACTCGTTTGCAGAAACACTGCTCCTTTAAGTTGAAGTCATATGATTTGCGCTCAAACTGAACAATTTTTATGAAATATTATTTCATATTTGGACTCTTAGGCAGATTTCAAATCAAATAACAGCGTAAAGTACCCGATTTCTCTCTCGTTCTTATAGTAATGTTGAGCTGAAATTAAAGACTACTTGTTCATTTGTGTTAAGTAGAAAAACGTGTACAAAACCTAAGGGAAAAATTAAATATTCAAAAATGAATATAAAATAAGGTGATGATGTCATCATGATGTCATCCCTTTGCAATAAATCTTGCATCAGGGTCTTTGTTGGCTATCACTTTGGGAACGATCAAACATTACAAAGTTACCAAAAATGTGGCTCGAAAACGTGTACAAAGTCAACGGGCTAGAAACACGTACGCAGGAAAACTGCTCTTTTAATTTCACGTGATTTTTGTCTGAACTGGAAAAAACTTATGAAATATTATTTGATATTTGGACTCTTGGGTATATTTGCAATTGAACGGAAGGGAAAATTTAGTCTGATTTCTCTTTCGTTCTGGTAGTAATTCTCAGTCGAAGTTGAGGACTGCTCACGCATTATGCTGGACAATGTGTGTACAAACCCTATGTTGTGCAACAACGCCATCTATGGTTCAATATACGACAGTTTGTTGAAAATTGAAACCCCAGGCAGGTGTAACCGTAATTCTGAAATAGTGCCCTCATAGCCTGGTATATGACAGTCCGAAAACTGCATGCAACTTTTCCATTTGAAACAACCAACAAAAAGGAATACCAGAGTCTGCCTTCTTTAACCGTGTTCGCTCGAGTGTGGGCCAAGAATAATAGTTGAAAAGTGGGCCCAGGATCTCAATTTTTACGGTGGGTCTTTTACGCGTCCCGGCGTGAAGGGGTTATGGCTCAGATTTAATGTTAACTTTCTGAAATTTGTTGCACTCCTGCCAAAGAAAATGGCTAGTCAATGTCCATCATTAACATATCGTGATCAGAGACTGTTACATGCAAGACCTACTTTGTGACTTCACTGTACATTTACATGTGATTTCATACACGAGGAGTGGCACATGAATTGTCCGCCGGTTAATCGTAGCAAGTTTTTGGCGATCGTGTGCTGGTGGGAAATCAAGGAGTGGGGTGTGCAGTATTTATCGTCTGGATTTTTTATTCAATTTTCACTACAGAAATGTTTTAAAATGTTGGAAACATTGCAGAGTATTTCCAAACAATATTGTTCTGATTTTTGTTTCTTTTCTTTCTTTTTTTCTTTTTGATGTGGTTGGGCAAATGGTTTCCGTGCGTAATTTAAAACTTGCTCTCCTATTTCATCCTTACGAAAGTATGAAACGGAATTTGAATTTCTGAAGCAGAATTTGGGATTTGGCAAAACGGAAAATACCCATTTTTGAAATGGAAAATCATTGGCTCTACATCTATTATGACAAGAAAGATGAAGGTATAGATATCCTTTGTTACAAGCGTTTCTGTGAGAAGGTGGCAAAAAGCGGCATATTTGTGGAGCCTAAGACACTGCCGCTAACATCTGCTGCTATACAGTATCGTAGTCTCCAAGTATACTTCCAGATTCAGACTTGGACAGCTGGGCAATTCAAACCAGAGGAATGGGGATGGAAGGTCACTACTGGCCAGTTACTTCCGCTACAGACACATCTCCCTCCTGCAGCAGACGTTGATCAAGATTTTCAGGTGTAACTGCAAGACTGGCTGCAACACCTACTAATGCACTTGCAAGAAGATTGGCATTGACTGTACATGGATGTGTGTAGTGTGTAATGGTGTAAGTTGTGCTAATTCATCTCAGATGGAAATTGATGACGGCAGTGCTTCTGAATGATTTGACAACTAAATGAATGAACGCTTCAGTCTTTCAGTTATTGCTTATTGCTGTTTGTTTGAAATGAAAAAGTTGCATTTTAATGACTTTAATGTTTACTTAAATTTGTTGTATCAGGCAAACTGATGGGAATTTTCTGACAGTTTTTATTGTCTCTAATTGAAGACAACATACATATATATTTAGGATGGAACTTTTATAAAAAATTCTGGAGATATCTTTATTATTTTAACATCTTTCAGCATGGGCTTGGGTGATAGTACCTATCTATTTGTACATATGTCAAACAGTAATAACCATTAAACCATCACTGCAGAAACAACTTTAATACAGCATTTTTATAATAGTGTTAACCTAATATACATTCATCATGTTCACTGCCCTGAAATCTTTGCTTTGAATTGTATTTCATTTCCATCTAGTACTATGATACTAAGTCGGGGCAAAAATGTGAATTTTCTCTGAAAAGTGGGAGGTGATTTGCATAATATGCAAATTTTATGCACAATATTAACTTCAAAGTGCACCTATCATTTTCACTGACCATGGAAATAAGGGTGTGGAAACTTGATTTGTTTGAACTGGGTACTCAGATGTGAAGTTACAATGGAAATAGGTATTCCTTTTAAAGGAGGAAACTAATTTGCATATTATGGAAATTAGACTATTTTCCCATGCCAGGATTTTTAGGACTTTTAGTATGGTGTTTTGGGGTTCATTGTGAAATGCCCTACGGTGAAATAAATTCTTTTACAATTAGTTGTAGGTTCCCCCCAAAATTTGCCAGATTTACTTGACTACTTTTCAATGATCCCATGTATTAAAGGAGTTAAAAGGCATAAGTATAGCATTTTGATTGCAGTGGTAAATTCCATTGGACAGAAAAAAAAAATTCGTCTTGGCGATTCACGATTATCTCCACCACACATGATTGGATTTAGTTTTAACTTTTCAAGAGCTTCAATTGGATGCCTCCTCAAAATACCTGACAATTCTTTTAGGAGAAAATTTATGTTAATACTTTAGGGTCGTGTTTCTCTTTTTTGTGTAGAATGTGTACAATGACAGAAACTATCAGTCCATTTGTCTTGGCTACAGATAAGCTGTGGGAATAGGCTTATTCAAAGCAGATAAGAGTTTGGAACTTGTGTAACCATTTGGATGTTAATATGACCATTATTACTAGTAAAAGCAAATTATTTTCCAACACTGCATTTCAAGCCTGTCTTTAAAAAAATACTAAAATCAAATGAACATTATATACCTTGGTCATGGAATTCTTCATTTAGTACTTGTGACATGTCACTCATCCAAATATTGCCTGATGTGACAATGAACCGCTGACCTGCAGTACAGAATAAAACAAAAACTTCCATTTCTTTGAACTAGTTATTCAGATACCAAACTGTGTAAATATTTGTCCTTGGTTGAATTTTATAAAAAAATGAATGTTTGAGTGCAATGGTAAGATCAAGAGCTACTACATTCATTTGCAACAGAACATAGGGCTTTTCCGCATATCTAAATTTGACAAGGGGTCTTTTGTTTGGTGGGGCTCGGACTGGCGTGCTCTCCGTGATCCCGAGGGATGTCCGCAGCGCAGAACAGTTGGTCAATTTCGCGATACTGCCTAACCCAGTTCTCCACTTGAGTCCGGCACGCTGTCCCGAGGACGGCCAGAATATCCTGGCTGAAATGTCGAGTTAACACTCATTGGTTCTTCTAAGAACCACACCTCTTCCAAAGAGATTGATTCCATGGTGTACCCGCAAACCTTCATGTTATGTAACTTGCACCATGCAAAGTTTCAAATCTTCCTTACCTGGTGCTTCAGGATGTGTCATGGCAGCAATGTGACTTGCTGCAACATCTCGGACATCTGCCACGCTGAAGTTCATTTTGGGAATAAGGGGTGGGTCCCTACACATCAGTCTTTTTACTACCTCCATACTGGTACAGCTGGTGCCAGAAATGACTGGACCCATGACATATCCTGGATTAATCACAGCCAGCTCAAAAGTTGGATCACCTGCAAATAAACAATAACTACAGTGTAAAAAATTCAGAGACACAAACACATATGAAATGCATTTAAATAGTCAATTCTGACACAACCTAGTTTCCATATGGTTATTCAACACTTACAGCTTACAAGATGTCAAGATACAGAGGAGTCAATGAAAAAGACAGTATGTGATGTCATGTGACGAAATAGAGACATAAATGACATCCAGAAAATTTGGGGATTTATTATTTTTTTGGGGGGGAGGGACAATTTTTGTGTGTGTGAGGTGCTCTTTTAGGGGATTATTGTTTAATTGGTATTTTGACTCGGGGTATTTCTTCTTCTTCTTATTCTTACTTTTATAGGTTTATTTATTTCACATTAGGTGGCCAACTGCAGCCAAAAAGGCTACATTGCTGCAACAGTAACATTACAATTAAAAGTCCAAAAAACAAATAGGAGATTTAATAAAAAAAAAAATGAAAATGATGCTAAAACTTATTGTAAAACCCATATAAAACGAAATAAATGTACCTAAAAACACACACAAATAAATATAAATATAGACACACACAAAAAACACGAACACGACACAAATATTACACTAATACTGAATCAAAGGACGGGGAGAGGGTGTTGGGGACATGAGAAGGGAAGGGGGTGGAAAAAGGGAGGGGAAGTGACAGGGAGGGGTAGGGGAAATCAATGCCAACAGAGAGGTAATGTATGACAGCGGGCTGTATTTGTACCGATTAGTTGTGCACCTGACCATTGACAGACTAGCAAGCCATCTAGCAAGGCAACAGCATATTGTACATACACATGTACATTGTAAGTAGAGCTTATCTGTCTGTTTGCCAACAGGACAGATGGCTTTTTCGCATTCTTTTATACATTTGAACGACTACGGCATCATCACATCAAGTCATTTTGCGTATATAACACCCCTCTTTTAAGTTATCTACAAAGTTTCAACCTGATAGAACATGTACTTCAGGAGATATTGATTTTAATGTCACGTGACTTGTCTCCTGATTTCATCACCATCACATCACGTCAAAAATCCTCTAAAGCACTCCCTTTTCAAGATATCTGGAAGATTTGAACCCGATCGGCCATCTACTTTGGGAGATATACGGCTTTAAAGAGTTCAACTTTAATGTTACATGACTTGTCTCTTCATGATGTCATCATCACATAAGGTCAATTTTCCTCTAAAGCACTCTCTATTCAAGATATCTGCAAGATTTGAACCCAATCGGACATGTACTTCAGGAGATACAGGGCCTTAAAGAGTGTATTCTCCGTTCCTGTTAGTCTGCAAACCCCGCCTTATTTGCATAATCACAAGTATGCATTGTCACTCTAAAAAACCGAAATTCTTTAATAATATCTAACATTACAGTAATTGATTGCACATTTCACATTTTCTGTGTACAAAATTTAAGAAAAAAATTGCAGGACAACACTAGACGACATCTGTTGCACTATCCTGAACATTTTGGCGCAAAAATGAATTTCACTTTGGATAACTGTGACTAGAAGTTGTACTGTATGATATACACTTCAAAAGTACACAAATGATATGGTCATTGTGCGTAGTACGATGCAAAGTACGAAGTACGATGTACGGTACATCGAGTCAATTCCATATCACACGCCAGAGTGGGCCGAGTGCCGTTTTGGGCGCTAAATTTGCACAAACTATAGACTGATACCAAACTACGGGCATTCGATACATGAATCATAAAGTAAGAGTACTCCAGACAAGTGCTTTTATTCTTTATTCACAAAATTCCCTGAAGTTGAAAATATTGTAAAAATAATGTACAGATTGTAAAATCATGATTGAAGAACAAAATTGTAAAAATTACGCTTAAATAAAATAAATGTTGGCATCTCATGTGTGAAACCTTAGCACACGTATTGCACCCTCTGGCAAAGTATGTACTTGTAGTGGCTCTATGGGAAAGACGAGCACTCTTAAAGTTACATGTGTGCTCTGTCTTGGCATGGGTCCAATTTATGCTGACACAAATTTCATGCATTAGCCTAAATTAACAAACCAATTGACGGTATTTCAGCAAACCAAGATAAAGAACCAGAAGATAGAAGTCTGTAACAAACACACAAATGCTATGTACCTGTCCATGTGCTTACCTCTGGATTTTAATTCCTCCACGAAACTCCATGCTGCTTTTTCTGCCAGCATCTTACTTTTGGAATAGGGATCCAAAACATCAACATCAGGCCAATCAGATTCACATGCTGCCTTCTCTGAAACCTTGCTGAAATCTAATACAAGCAAACATAAACAGATCAATAATTTTTACTAGGTATGTACTTTTTGAAATTTTACAATGGGTAGGCCATATGGTGTACATGTATGCAGGGCCATGTTCCATCGAGGCCCTGCATAGAGTAAATGTTATAAATTATAGTAGGAAGTAAAATTCACAGGCTAAAAGCATCAGTTGATGAAATAGACTAAGAATAAAGTACATGATTTTACATTCTAATTTGACTACATCCAGGGGTTTCAAATGCTCAGTTATTGAGGCAAATTATTTTACACAGTCACTCTGCTCAGAGTGAAATTTGTGGCATATTCTTTGGGCAACAGGGACTTAAGCCTTAAAAGAGCTGCAATCATTCAGACCATCTCATCCCCTGGGGGATGGGGGAAATGAATTTTGTCACCTAAGAACACAGCTGTACCATACTTTATTTTCCTAAAATTGTGTGCATGTCATTGAAAACTCATTTTCAATACAAATGTGAAGTTTAACTTCATCTCTTGTTGCTGTGGAACCCCATTTCGAGCAGAGCTGGGGGGTCCTAAATGGGACAAAAGAGCTGGTCCATGTAACAAACGACAGTACTCGGAACAAAAGACCTGCTGCTGGGAATTGCCATCATTTTTCATGCATTTTTCAAAGGTAATCCATCACTATTTTTAAGCAATATACCATTTTGGGCATAGCGCGCCTGCGGATTTGCACCACGGACAAAAGTGTTCCAGGGCCCCATTAATGAGCGACACAGCACTGCTGCATGCTAATGCAGCCGCGTTTCAAAAGACACCACTTGCATTCACAGGGGACAAAGGAAACTATGCAACACCTCATAATTCTGGGCTTTCTTTACAGGGCGGCGCGCCTGGCTGAAATATTCAGGAGTCAATGAAGGTTACCTGTCAGGTTAGAGTAGCCACCAAACAGTCATTTGTGTAGGTGTAAATGTCCATTAAATGAAATGCTGATTTTTTGAAGAATTTTGAAAACTGAAAACCTTGAAAATCACCCGTATGTGCACCGCACTTTTAAACGCACCCGGCAGCATGTGGTTAAATACAGTCTGTAATTTTGTTACAATCATGTCTCAAAAAATTAATTACATCTTTTAGGAATATGAAATCATCAAACTAAACATTTCTAAACCACACTTCGATTCCATTCACTGCACCCAGAAATCAAACTGTGTTGATATCTGTTTTCATTGTTCCATAGAAATTCCCTTCTGTGGTACAGATACCATAGCTTGGGACCAGTGGAGCTTTGCTTGACTGTGGGGCTGCAATGATGGCATCATTGTCATTTGACCAAAAATAGTGCAGCAAAAGGTTTTCCATGCCACAATATGTGGTTGCCAAGAGACTACTTTCGTGAAATTCAATTGTCAGATACAGCCATCTTCCTCTTCAAGCCTCCAGTTATTCAATTTCAAGTTGAAGTACTGTGTATCTTAATGAAGGTTTCAATGTACTTTATTTCAACAAGGTCTGCATCAGTGTACTGTATATGTTTAAAGAACACTCACTTTAACGTTAATGACTTTTATTCACTTAACATCTATTTCCACATCACAGAATGGAATCTACATATATATTTTTCTGTTACGCATTTCAACTGCCTCTAAGAGTCTGGAATCACCTTGAAATAAGCTTATAGAATGTGATTTTTGCATGAAAAATAAATGCTCTCCCTTATTTTTCACATGTTACATCTAAAAAAAAAAAGAAATAGACCAATTAATTTTGGATTTTTGCCCTGCCCAACATGTATTGTAACAACGTATAGTCAGCGTTTACCCCCGAAGGCTTGTGAGAAAAAAATACCACAAGCGTACTCAAGTGAGACCTGAAACCATGACTTCCTGCTTTATATGCAGACGTCTTAACCACTCGACCACTGAGCTTGCCAGTGTCAGCTGGCTGGTTGGAGTCAGATGCAGCAGTGAACAACTATTTCCAATACCTCTGACTTTAACCAGCCAGCCGACACCACAAGAGCAGTGGCTGAGTGGTTAAGACATCTGCAATGGGTTCGAGTCCCACTTG